TGTTTAGGACATGACCAAAACAAAACATTCCAGCCCTCTATTCGCCCGGGCGGATTACAGTATTTCGCCCGGGCGAATTATTATTTCGCCCGGGCGGATTACTAATTCGCCCGGGCAAATTACTATGTTGCCGGGCGGATTACTATTTCGCCCGGGCGGATTACTATTCCGCCCGGGCGGATTACTATTTCGCCCGGGCGGATTACTAATTCGCCCGGGCGAATCAGTAATCTGCCCTGGCGGAATAGAAATCCGCCTGGGCGGAATAGTAATCCACCCGGGCGAAATAATTATCAGCCCGGGCGAAATAGTATTCCGCCCGGGTGAAATAGTAATCCGCCCGGGCGAAGTAGTGGGCCTAAAAAATATTTTCAGTCATGTCCTAAATACGCTTCCGAATTAATGAGGGGAAAAATTATTGTATTTAAAACTGTCCAAGAATCGTTTCGCTGAGTCTCTGAATAGTATTTAAGACAACGTTAAATCAGAACTCATTTCTCGTTCGTTTGGTGCAAGTTGTTGGATTCGTCCAAAGCAACGCTTGTGGGACCGTGTTCTTGGAACGTGGCAGAAGAGGGATCGTAAAATCTCGCCAAATCCAGCTAGGAGACATCGTCGCAATGTACTGGTACTATGACTCAACGGGCGACTCATCCCTGCTCATCTCGTACTTCTTTGGAGATGTGGCTCCCCAAAACGGGATCCCAGAGGGGCGTCTATGATATCGACAATGAGTTCAATCTCATCATTAAGAACGTCACGGCCTCCAATGAGGGAACCTACTATTTTGCGGTGAAACGGCATTCGATAAAAGTAAAATGGGGACGGATTGAAGTTTGTGACAAGGGTGAGTGCATGATAATAATGATTTCCACTTAAACTTTTCATCAGCTTGAATACAAAAATCACCTAGACATCTGAACTCAGTGAGGAGACCAAAAGCCTCTTCAATTTCTCTAACGCGTACGACTATGAACGCTAGGGTATGATCTGATTGGCCAAGTATTTGGCTTTATTTTGGCCAATTTTGAGCGAATGAGGGCACTCTATAAACGCCACTTTTCTGCTACGCAAACACGGGAAAGATCCCGTTTATTTAAGCAGTTGAGTTTAACTGTCATTTACCAAAGAAAGATTGTTAAATGTAATATTTCAAAGAAAAGCATTCGCCATTAACCTTGCCTTCACACAATATTATCAGGAATTGACCTTAGCGGTAGCCGCTAGAAAAACGAGTCAAAACAGCGGCGCGGGCTATAGTCAAACCAAGTAGCCCGTCATTGCGCCGCCGATCAGTTGCACCGATATCTACGGAAGCGTATTTAGGACATGACCGAAAATATTTTTTAGGCCCACTACTTCGCCCGGGCGGATTACTATTTCGCCCGGGCGGATAAGTATTTCGCCCGGGCGGATTAGCATTTCGCCTGGGCGGATTAGCATTTCGCCCAGGCGGATTACTATTCCGCCCGGGAGGATTACTATTCCGCCCGGGCGGATTACTCCGGGCAGACTACTAATTCGCCAGGGCAGATTACTAATTCTCCCGGCCGGGCAGACCACTGATTCGCCCGGGCGAATTAGCAATCCGCTTGGGCGAAATAGTAATCCGCCCGGGCGAATTAGTAATCCGCCCGGGCGAAATAATAATCCGCCCGGGCGAAATAATAATTCGTCCGGGCGAATAAGTAATCCGCCCGGGGCGAAATAGTAATCCGCCCGGGCGAAATAAAGGGACGGAAATTTTGTTGGGGGGTCATGTCCTAAATACACTTTCGTAGACATCGCTATATCTAGCGAATAAGTACAGGACATCATACAGTCTGGCCAACCTCGTCCCCGTCTAAGTCTGGCTGTCCATGCGCGTGGATAAAAGCTCCCCCCCCCCCCCCCGCGCCCCCTAGGATATTTGCCAGTAGTTTCTTTTCGTGACTTATATTTCCCCCGCATTTTTTTAAGGGGCAGTTTGGATAATACGAAAGCGTATTTAGGACATGACCGAAAATATTTTTTAGGCCCACTACTTCGCCCGGGCGGATTACTATTTCGCCCGGGCGGATTACTATTTTGCCCGGGCGGATTAGTATTTCGCCCGGGAGGATTAGTATTTCGCCCGGGCGGATTAGCATTTCGCCCAGGCGGATTACTATTCCGCCCGGGCGGTTTACTATTCCGCCCGGGCGGATTACTATTCCGCCCGGGCGGATTACTAATTCTCCCGGCCGGGCAGACTACCAATTCGCCCGGGCAAATTAGTAATCCGTCCTGGTGAAAAAGTAATTCGCCCGGGCGAATTAGTAATCCGCCCGGGCGAAATAGTAATTCGCCCGGGCGAAATAGAGGGCCGGAATTTTTTTTGGGTCATGTCCTAAATACACTTCCATAGGATACTTTAGTGTCGCAAATGAAAACAGGAACGAAAGCGATTTCGGCCGAAAACGTGATATGTATACATGTACATAAATATAGCACATTTATTATAATCACATTTTTAATCGATTTTAATTATTAATAAATAGCTTATTACATTTATGAATAAAGGCCAGTTTTAATTCACTTTTATGAAAAAGTTCTTCATAATGCACATTGTTGTTTATGACATTCTGGTGTCAAAAAAAACCCTGGCTGGCTAGTGAAGAAAAGGTTATAAAGGGCGAACCCTGCAATATTATACCCCCATGTCAAGCGTCCTGGGAATAAGGCCTTTTTACTCAAGAAAATCTTTCTAAACTCTTCTCACCAACAGTCTCTCCAAATCGACTATATCCTACCGTCATCGGCTGCAATCAAGACCACGATGTAGACACGTGCGAAGTGAGAGTACGTCATGACAGCACGGTGCACAACCTGACCTGCGTCATGGAGCAGGTCAAACCTGCCGTGCAATTGAAATGGATCCGTCTGTTTATGGGCGGGAAGACGGAACTCACCAACGTCTCTACAACAGTCAGGCCCGTAGTTCTACCGGCCTACACGGGTAAGCATGGGTTGTTCTTCCTATAGTCGTGCTGTCATTTGCATCGGGGGGGGGGGGGGGGGGGGGGGGGGGGCGGGGGGAGCGATGGCGGGGGTGTATTGACACTTCCCCAAATATTAGTTACAGTCGACCTGGTGTAATAGTTTTAAATATCTTCGGATTTGAACAGCGCCCATATAATTATTTATCTCAAACAGTGACATAATTATTATCATTTACCAGTTTTCAAACCATCCAATTATGTATCAATTTCAAATCTGTCGATCAGGTTCGTTGTTGAGGAACAAAACCTTTTCAACTTCAGCATCAGTCCAAGTGGTAGAAGCTGGCGACGAGGAAGTCTACGAGTGTGAGGCAATAGGTATTGCTGTAGGAGGCAGTACACGCACGAGGGTACGCCTTAGCGAAACTCACCCCACAACGGCAACTTATGATGAAGTTCAGTCCTCAAAAAAATCAGGTGGGTAAAACGGTAACAGTGTCACGTTGAAACCATTTTTGAGGGGGGGGGGGGGGGATTAACTGTCATCGCAGAGGAACAAACACCTGCCCCAAGATGCAAGGGGTATATTGGGTGATGAGTGATTCGATCATCTGAGTCCAGTCATAAATATCAGTTGAATAAACTCATGATATATCAATTGAATCAAGTCAAACAATAATTGATTCAAGTCATATATAGGGTGAGTAAAAACAAAACGAAACCCAAAATGGCAGGACAATGAAGTTGTGCCTGTAGCACTTCCAAAATCTAAGATATGAAAGCCACATCGGTAATCAATGAGCTTTCTTTTATACAAGAATCATTCACATCACTCTTGTACTTTTCAAGTTAATGAATTTTAAACACAACCACCGTTTGAAAGTTCTGTCCCCGGGATCGCAAAAAGTGGTTTTTTCAGCAAAAGGAAACAATTCACATGCATCCCCATGAGAATGGTTTGTGACCAGATATCAGTTGAATCAAGCCAGATATTGTGTGTGACTAGTGCATTTTGCCTGTTTCAGGAGCAGCACCTGTAACTGCTGACGATGTATCACCAACTGCCATTGCCAACAAACCTGCTGAGAAATTTGTCCCTCTGATAGTGCTATCGGTCTTGCTTTCAATCTTACTGACGTTTTAGTCGGTGGTCTTATGGTCGAAAATGACGAGAGTGTACCCGAAATTGCATTTGGTAATATGCAATTTCGGGGCCGGGAGCCCATATGCATTTCAGGCATACATTCTTTGAAACTCTCAGGATCACCTATGGACACCTCAACAAGTCCAATTTCTTGGACCGCCCCTGGGGTTGTCATTTTGAATGTACAAATGGCAGCCAATTTCCAAACTTAAGCCGCGTTCGCATTGGACCTTTTTTATGAAGACTGAAAACAAGTTTGCTCAAGATTTATAAAATCAATCAATCAATCAATCAATTCGACATTTATTTTCACATTGACATCCTCGGTAACAATTCAGACAGAAAACAGTATATATATGTACATTTGTATAAACAAAACATTCTTCACAGACAGTATGTAATTAAGTGTAAATATTAAAGGATGTCAACATAAAGGAAAAAGGTGAAGCACTGCTTTTGTACCTTTCCCTGGGACAGGACAAAACTTAAACAACTAACTACACATGGACTAAGACAGGACAATAGGTTTAAGAGTGAGACCCGGTACAATATGTAAAATAATGACTAAGCAAAGCAGAGAAAAAAAAATGTTTTTTAAGTAAAAGTTTAAGTATTGATGATCGATTTTTTGCAATTTTTTAGCAAATGAAACCACAGTAGTACACTCTTTTAAACCAATCATTAGTCACGTGCCTCCCCTATTGTTTTTAAATATTAAATTTCTTTGAGGCCTATAGATTAAAAAAGAAGGGAGGACATTTGTCATTGTTAAAAAACACCAAAATTCTGATGATGAGGGTTTCTTACACCCAAATGATTTATGGACTAGCCCAAAAAAATCTAACCCCATTTCCCGCTCTAAAATTCCACCTGCGGATTTTCTAGTACTGGTACACAACAAAATAAATTTGGTTTTATGGTATCAAACGTTCATTTTTCTGCTGTTGGAAATTTGGAAATTTAGTTTGGTAGTAATAGAAAAATGAAAATTCAGAAAGAGGACTCCATTCCAACCATTCTGTTTTTGTTCTAGCAGATTTTGAGAAAATGGGTTGTCCACTTTTGGTCCTCCATAATGGGTGAATGTCAGTGCTGGGGATGGCCTGGCGACATGTACAAAGTGTGCGTTAACCTGTGAGTGTGAGTTCAACCTGTGAAAAACAACACAATTGAATCGTGTGCGTTGTTTGTATGAACAGTTTGAAATTGCGCCCACCGAACAGGCGCATTTTTCGACGGGCCCTGCTCTAGTCCTTGAAGGGGTGTCTGGGTGGGTGTGTGTGTGTGTGGGTGGGTGCTGGAATTTACTACCTTACGGAGACATGAACACAATAGGGAACAAAAGATTGTATACGTCTCCAGAAGAACATTTCTATAGATGAATACGTCTCCACAAGAATTTCACGAAATAGATATATGGATTTTACTCAAAAACTAGGAATTTATTTCCAAGGTAGGTTGATCTGTCGCAAATGGAAGAGTTTTAGAAAAGGGATATTTAGTCCAAATTTCAGCCCAGGAAATTAATTCTGGTTAAAATAAGAGCATTTTGAAACTTCAATTTCAAACTCGAAAACTTTACTACACGAGAACAAAGAAATGTCTCCACAGGAATACAGATTCCAGAATGTGTGTGTGTGTGAGCTTGTCTTACATACGCAGTGTGGACTTCCGAACAAAAGACGTCCACATAATGTAGGTAGCAGCGACGAAGTGTGGACTTGCCCACGTCCACACAGTGTTTCCCCATTTCTGGAAAACAGGTTTAGAGGCATTTTTGGGTTAGGTTTATTTGTAGCAGAATGAAGAGAAACACTAAAGGGAATCATTGAAAAAAAATTGGGTTGTAAGAGTTTTCACAGTTTGAGAAAAATGAGTTTTTCCACTGGTGTTCCTTAACTACACGAAAAGAAAGGAAAGTCCACACTAGGTATGTGAAACAAGTCTGGGTGGGTGGGTGTGTGTGTGTGTTCCTGCATGGCATTACGCCTGAGGACAGACAACAAAAGGAGCACAAAGGGGCCTTTCATCAATTTGTTTTTGTTTTCAATTAGTTCCTGATTATCTTTGATTTAAATACTTGTTAAGTATGTTCTGTAATTGTTTACTTTCCTTTGATTTTCACCAATATGGAAATAAATGTCAAATTGAATTGAAGTTGAAGTGAAGTGAATGCGAGTTAATTTTGTAATTGCCCAACTTCGAAGTATTTTAAATCAGCTTTTTTTACTGGTCAATATTATTGTGTATTGCACAAAAAAGAAATCGAAAGTGAAAATTATTAATATTCTGATCATTAATCTATGCAAAGTTAAAGTATCAATATACATGTATTTGTAAACCAAAAAAACATGTTGAAAAGTTACTATTATCGTTAAATAATCATATTTGTAAGTCACAAAAATGACGGTGGAGTTTGACATTAAAAAGGGGGAAAATATGGATTGTCCTTTCCAAACAGTTTTTTTCTGGTGGATTCGTTAGAGTGAATGATTACTTTTATCAGTAATTTTCCAAGTTGGACGGTGTATACGTGACTGCAGACACTTTTAATGGGGAACATATAACATACAGAGGGATTCAAGGGTGAATCGAACCCGAATATTCAACCAAAAATGGGAATTCATCCCGCAGATCTAGATAACGACACTAAAATAATATTGGAATTAAATTGCTTCGACCACCGAATGTGGAATTGCTCGAACTGCGATAAAATTATTATTAACTGTTACACTATCGTAAGATTGCAACGTCGGGTATGAGCTGTTGGTGTTATTTCTGAGTTTCACCTTGAATTTGTTTTTTTTATTGGTTGTTCCCAATTTCAATAAGGAACAGCTTTTGTTTTCGTTAAGATTTTTTCCCTTTTTTTTCACTTTTCCCCATACTAGGTTTTGTGTACACATTTTTATTCTACAAGCCAGTTTGGGAATTTTTCAAAATACACATGTACTATAATATTATATTCAACTTATATCTGATTAAAAATTGTTTCATACGTTGACTTAATTACCAGCGAAACTCGAAGCTCATCTCCACAGAAATTGCACATTCGTGGCCTGCCTATATTGCCATTTTGTAATAGGCTGTTTTTTTCCGCGCAAACATTACCATTGCGATTTATTTAATTCAGGAGGCGGGATTAAGACCTTTGTACGTCCTGTGTGTAATTTGCATACATTATGAGGGAAAGCCTCTTTATCAGCATTCGCCTGTCTCCCATTTTTGAAGCCCGAAGTACAATTAACGGAGCGACGGCTGGGAACCAGTCTACTTTCAGACCAAATGACGTCACCAACGAACCGGTGTCGTGCCAAAAACCGACCGGTGCCAAATAGTGTCCGCTGAGCATGCGCAGTGGGCGCCAGACACTATTTTGGCATGTAATACATGCCAAATAGTGTCCGATGCCAAATAGTGTCCGGGCGCCGTCATTTCCAACACAAGGGCGCCCGTACGTCCTGCTGGACACTTATTTGGCAGGAAAAATCGGACAGTATTTTGCAAAGGTGAATCGGACAATATTTGGCAGGGGGAATCGGACAGTATTTAGCAGGAAAAATCGGATATTTGTTTCGCAGGGAAATCGGACAGTATTTGGCAGGGGGGAATCAGATAGTATTTAGCAGGAAAAATCGGACAGTATTTGGCAGGAAAATCGGACAATATTATTTTGGCAGGGGGGATCGGACAGTTTTTGGCAGGAAAAATCGTGCGTACTGCACTGCACGCCAAACAGGTGAACTGACGCGAAAAAAAAACACACAAACATTTTGCACAAATATAATTTTGTTTAAACTATTAGGGAAACCAAGTAAATAGTTATCACAGATAACAAGGAAACGTTAAAACAGATTGTAAAAAGCAAATTCAGGTGAAAGAAATCGTATCTATACGACGTCTTGACAGCTCGTAACAGCATATATTCCTCCATGGTAACAGCAAGGCACGCAATAGGATGCACGCTCAGCGCGGACACTATTTGGCAAGCTTCCGTAAACAATGTGACGTCATGGGCGCATGGCCAATCAGAGCGCATTATGCTAATTAGCGGACACTATTTGGCACCGGACGGTTTTTGGCACGACACCGGAATACAAAACCAAAGGGTTCATGGGGATTACCCATTAAAAATCTATAGCGCCGCGTAGAGGGATGGTGGATTGCGACATATTATGTATGGGAAATCCCCAGCGATTACAACATTTTGTTGTACATGTACTTCGAGCCGATCAAAGTACTGTATATATTTTCTGAGGCGCTATAATGCCACGACTGCAGTTCCAAAATTCTCTCAACTTGAATCCAGCGACGTACGCCGGTACACTGTCGGCGGACTAGTGAAGAAGTGCAACATTTTGTCACACGAGGTGAGAGTGCATTGACTTTAAAAAACAATTATTGTTGACATTAAGTAGGCAAGGTTAATGATCGACAGCAATACAATTATTTATTATTATTATTATTATTAATTTTTTTTTACATTTTTTTTTTTTTTACATTTTTGTTCCAATTCAGTCGGGGAGGCTTTTTTAATTTTTATTTATACTGTCACAAGCATGCCCATGTAATATCGTCATCACTAAATATGGAGTGCGTTTTACAATCGTTGGCTGTAACTGTATTTAGGTGTAGAATATGGCGTTTTTTACACCCGAGGAGCGAGGGCGTATGCAGTTCTCCGACTTGAAGCCATTTAGGATCATTTGCATTTATGCATAAGTAACCTTTTATGAAAACAAATGTCATAATCGAAAATATCTGCCGTCGATAATCTTAAAAATAATGGAAAATGCAGGTCAAGTATGCCATATACACAATGCTAGTCACGACGAGAAACTGGCTAGACAACGTCTGAACTTCGCACTAGTACGAGCGTTTGTGATGCTCTGTGTGTGGTAGGCCGGCAATGAGACACGTTTTACGGTATAGGATTTCGGTGAAACACGCTGCATCGTTTCACTTCACATACCAGTAAAACTTCCTCAAAATAAATTCATGAACACGGGAAATACATACACAGACAAGAGAGATCAAGTTCTGTGAATAAGCTTGCAAAGATCGTCCTTCTCAATCGTTGTTTTCTTGGCATTTTTACGATGTCTATTCCGTCCGGCCTGCACGCAAAACACTGTACGGCAGTGCATTGCACCGCGCGCGACTATTACATTGACTGGTTACCGCATTTTCATCATGCCTTCATTTGGACTTTAGTGCGCGGCGCAGCGGGAACCAGTCATTGCTGCACTCGCACGTACGGGCCCACGTGTTTTCATGCAGCTCTATGCGATATGCAGATTGTGCACGCACAGTGTACAACCGCTGTACGTACGTACACACACGATCTTTACAGTACGTACGAGCTCGATGTTCGTTCATTTTTTAGCGATATCCAGCGGCATATTAACGTGAGTTTGGGCATTATACCAACGAAAAATACGTGTAGCTTCAGACTTGAAATCCTTTGCGTTTTTATCACTTCTTATTTTTAAACTTCCCGTGTTTGACGAGCCCTCTTTTGGATTTCTGAGGAGCGCTATTTTTGGCGCTCCTTCGAGACAGTCGAGGAGCGCAGTAGGAGCGCCTGCGCGATCGCGCTCCTTAAAAATGAAGGACTGCATAAGATCGTACTGCACTATATTCTTGTACTAAACACCCTGTGAAATTATTCCGTTGTGCGTCTGGCTTGCTGTATTAGCCTATATGGGATTTCCAACGATCAGTCAATATTGGTTGATTTTTTGGAAATAAAGAGTTAAGAGTGCTATAGACGAAATCGTGTTTTGTCATGTGATCAAAATGTTGTGGATGGGTTTTCACCGTTTCGCCGAAAAGTGTAATATATCCACCGAAACAAACTTCTGCAGGTCCGAGGATTAATAAGAACATTCTTCTTTGGATTATGGGGCAATGCATGAAAAGAAAATTGCCTGTATTTTTTTGGAAGGCGCGCAAGCACACACACACACACTTTGTTTATGGTAGGCCTAAATCGAAGGTTTTCTATTGTTCCTCATCATCGATCTTTTGTTTATACTCATAACTTTTTGCAACAGCTCCCATTGGTTTTGTACACGTTTTCTAATCGAGGTCGTACTCGATTCGACTCCTGTCCTCAATGCCGAATGATGCTTCACTAACATGCACAGTCACACACCCTCAGCTTGTGGTTTTAATGTGGGATATAATAGTAATTGTTAGTTGTCCTTTAGAATTGCCTTCGCGGAATACGGTCAGATAAAGGTCGACTTGTGGGGTCCCATTGTT